GGATGATCATTATAAATTCTTGATAATCGATTATACCTTTTGCATATTTCGAACACGTTCGAATTTTCTCGAAGAGATAAGTGGATATATAGCTGGATGGTAGTAGTGATGACGTAAACAATTCATTCGAACTGTTTCTCCGTGAAACCTAACAATTATCTTTAATATAATTGAACCTCGATTATATCTGATGTGTTTCGCGTATGCAAGTAATTGTTGATGTAACACTAGTTTCGTGACGTAACAGTTTGCTTGAAAATGGCAATTTTTATTAATATAATAACACCTCTGGTTGCTACATTGATCATGTAGTTGGATAATAACTCTTTCAATGATTCATAGATTTTTTTCTATCTTACAATTAATCGAATTTTCCGCGAATATTTATACGTTTTTAAACAAATTACTTCGCGCTAAGCTAATCTTATCTCCAGTAATCGAACGGATTCTGGAATAAAATAATTGTAAAATAATCGATACGTGCATAGATTCTTCGGAAATATTTAATAAATTTTCAAATTTCCCAAATCGATAGAGAAGAAGGGTTTTTCAAACTTTTAGATTTCTTTTCAAATATTTCGCAAATTTTTAAATTTTAAAATTGATAAAGAGACAGGACTTTCAAATTTTTTTTAGATTTTCAAACATTAAATTTCGCGAATTTTTTAATTTTCAAATTTTCGAAAAGAACTTTTAAATATTCCGATTTTCAAATATTCGACTCGATCAGATTAGACTTAATTCTCCAATTTTTCGAAAAGCATTAAAAAACTTTTGAATTTTTAAAATTAAAAAAATCCTCTATCTATCCCACGCTCGTTTCATTTTCAATTTTACGCGATCGATCGCGATATTCTCTTTAATTCGAATCTCTCTCCCCCTTCTCTCCCCTCCCCTTCCTTTCCCAATCCCACTCGCCATTCATCAACCGTTACAACAGCCGCGGCACGATGAAAAATTCCATGGCACGGTAACGAATTGCGAATTACAAACACTAACAAATAACAGAATTCAACGAAATCCATCCAAAAGCCCATCCGATTGAATTTTTATATATATATACATATATTTTTTTTTCACGAGTTACACAAGTGAATTTCGTGTTGGCCAACGAAAACCAACGTTGGTTGCGACACGCGCTCGCTCGCATTCGAGTGTTGGTCGTTGCTGCTCGCGAAACTCTTCACCGATTCAGCGTCCAAGAGAGTGCGCTATACCTTGTGAAATGAAGCGAATGCACTTTCACCCGGCATCGCGTTTCGCAACGTTCCACAGCCGCAAACCACCGTTGGTCCTCCTCGACCCGAGTAATTCCCTCGAGAACGTTCGACATTTCGATTACGATTCTTCCTCTCTTAAACCGCGTCGATTAACCGTGTCGTTGCGGAATCAAAGGAAAGGAAAGGAAAGGAAAGGAAAGGAAAGGAAAGGAAAGAAAGCGAGTGAGGAAGGAAAGTGAGGAAGTGGAAGTGTGTGAATGAACGAATGAATAAATTTGAACGCTCGAATTTTAGGAAATTATTTTAGGAAATTAACGTTAATTCGGTGTTATATTTTTTTTATTTTGCTTTTTTTTTCAAAGTTTTTAAACAACGTTAAATATCTCCGATTTAATTACACGATGGTATCACGCGTTTTCTCTTTGATGTCATAATCGCACAATGGTATTAACGCGCGTTTTAATTTAATGAAGGAAATGGAACGCGATGGAATAGTCATTTAGACAGGGGAATATTCGTATACAATAGAGCATTTCGATAATGAAAGTTTCAATTATACAAATGTACGAAGAATTCGTTAGGAAAAAAAAAAATCTAAAAACTTCGATAATCACGATTCTTATTAAATTATCTTCGACGTTCGATCACGAAACACATCCGAAACACTCGCGAGGATCAAACAAATTTGGCGTGCCCACATTCTCCCGTCCAAAGAACTAACGTTCGATACGAAAACTACGAGACTATTTCGCGCAAAATTTCTGTTTCACCGAAACCACGTTACCTCGTTCCGCGTTCGATTAATTCTCCTTTGAATCGTGGCGTCACGAGATTCGTGCCTCGTTATCTAACAATTGTTACGCAATTCCGTTTTTAAAACCGATATACATACGTATATACACTCACTGCCTCGAAAATTTACATATAAATTCTATGTCTTCTATTAGAAAAAAAAAAGAAAAAAAAAAGAAAGATGAGAATTCCAAGTGTATAGGTTAATCAAAGTTTTGAAAGTTTAATATTAAATTACGATATACAAGAATTATGATTAAATATAAAATAAAATTTGAAATAAAATTATTGTCCAGAAAAACCTAATATTACCTCTCTTAGTACAAACTTTCACCCATTTTCTTATTCTTCATTCAAGTCAAATTTTCGTCCAATCTTCTCGAAACATCGAGCACAAATACCAGCCACGCACCATGCCTGCTGTTTCCTGCGCGCGCATAAGAAAGTTATCGTCATGTCGTCGTCGAATCCTTGACGCAAGAATTCGGTTAGAGTGACTAGTTCGGTAGAATGTTTGATCTTTCGAGAATCTTCGTGTTTCAAGGGGCCAAAAGTAGAAAAACCGCGACGAATTGAAAAAGATACGCTCACCTACACCATCGCCTTATCCCGTTTCGGATAAGTCTGATGGGAAGGGGAAAAATGCCTGAGCCAAGAGTGGTAGTGGAGGGGAGAGAAATTTGAAAGTGGCCGGTGAAAGTGCGCTCTCGAGTGCAGCGCACGTGGCTCACGGGCGTAGAGCATGCCGACCTCGAACGTACTTCCTCCTCCAATCTCCTCTCTCTTTCTCTCTCTCTCTCTTCTCCCCTCTTCTCAGTTTTTCATAGATTTCCTCCTTTCCACCGCCATTTCATCTCTTCCTTCGTCTGCCTCTTCCCTTCTCCCCCCGCTTCGGATCGCCTTTGATCGTCGCTTGCGTGTGACCTTTGAACGTTCTTCCGTCCTCTCGCTGGCCTTTAAGCCGAGCCACACGAAGGTGAGAGAGTTCAAGCGGAAAAAAGGCCGACCGTCGGCTATCCTGTATCGACTTTCGATAAACGAAAAGAGTAATCGTTTTCAGCACGGTTCGTTCTGTTCGACTTGTTTCGTGAAATATTTGCGAGGGCCTATTGCTTTTAATTATTATTATGGGTACGTTTTTATAATATGTTGGATACGTCGTTATGTCAATTTTCTTGCAAACGAATCGAAGATTTACTTGAGAAAAAGAAAAGATTGTGAAAATTTTCGAGAAAAATCGAGTGATGGTTATATTTTTTGATGAGGACGTAATATGTTTTGTAATATAGGTTATCGATATTACAAATGTGTCAATTTTCTTGCAAACGAATCGAAAATTTACGTTTTAATATATCGGATACAGGTTATGTCGGTGTCTCAATTGCAAACGAATCGAAGATTTATTTAAAAAAGGATGCGAAGAATTGCAAAAACTTTCGAGAAAATCGAATAGTGGTTATACTTTCGACAGCGACGTTTTCGTAATATATCGAATTCAGGTTATGTCGGTGTCTCGTGTCAATTTTCTTACGAATCGAAGATTTACGTTTTAATATGTCGGATACAGATTATATGTCGATGTCTCGCGTCAATTGCAAACGAATCGAAGATTTACTTAAGAAAAGGTGCGAAGGATTGTGAAAACTTTCGAGAAAATTGAATAATGGAGATTATATTTTCAATGGGAACGTTTTAGTAATATATCGGATATAGGTTATGTCGGTGTCTCGTGCAAATGAATCGAAGATTTACTTAAGAAAGGATGCAAAGGATTGTGAAAACTTTCGAGAAAATCGAATGGTGGTTATATTTTCATGAACTAGGTTATTCGTTATGTCGAGTGCATATCCACGAAATGAACATTCGTGAAGACACGTTCGCGTGCATTCGTTCGAGTGATGAGATTGGGCAACGATCGATGGCACGCACGCTCGTTTGTCGTTACAATCGCGACGCGAACGTGAAAAAAGAATTTTCATTGATGTAGCGATATTACTTTGACGTTCGCGATTGTTTGCTCTGTCGCGTCTTTACACAAGCGATAGATTCATCGATAAATATTTTCGACTTTAGAATTCCAAGCTGTCAGCTTTAACATGCATTATTATTAAAAAGCCCGTTGACGAGACAGTCGATTAGAGTAGCGATTTAACATTGATTATGCTATTTCATATTTCAGAGAGATAAGGATTCGTAATGATGTAATCCGTATTTTAAACGTATTTAAAATATAAAATCCCTGAATGGCGCAATATCGTCGTTGTAAAATCATTAACAGAGCGAAAATAAAATCTCAGCGAAAATATCTGCGAATGTTAATATATAACATAATTTCACGCGAGTGGCAATTATCAAATCGTCTGTTCCATCATCATCGATGCAACAGGTATCACTTTCATCTTCGTTATCAACTTAAGTAATACTCGAAATAAATTGAATAAAAAGAATCTAAATCTATTATTATTACATATCGTATTCTTCGATATCAAAATCTCTAACCAGATATCCTCATCCTAACATTATCTAACGAATATTAACGATGGTTAATCATTATTAAAAACCTTATAATAAGTAATCGAAAGGAGGAACTCGAGAAGATTTTCTTCTCTTTCCTCTTTCTGTTCCGCTTTCCTAATGTTTAATCGGTGTCAGCCTTGTCGGCCTTGAACGCCCCTCTCTCTGTACGTACGTATGTATAGTATGTATAGTATCCGATACATGTACGCGTTACACGTTCCACGCCGCGTGAAAACATGTGGCAGGAGGGAAGGGGCTTTTATCGGACGTTAAGGTCTTTCGCAATTACGCGGAATCGTAAATCGGCGCATGGATACGGAATGGTAGTTGTGGTCCCAGAACCGTGTCGCGACGCTCGATCGAATGGTTCACGAGGGCCGATCTTTGATTAATCGATCGTCACACATATATATATAAATTTATATATAAATATAAATATATATATATATATATATCGTTTGAATGAGATTTTGAATACGCGTGAAATTTCACCTCTTGTTTTATGTACTTTTCACATATCGTTTTTCTCCGCTCGTTTTCGTATTTTGAAAAAAATCGATCTCGAGATCTGATATTCGATTAAATTTTAATCACGAGCGTGATCGCGATGGACGAGTCGAGAATGTGAAGCGTGTTGTGGAGACCGGTATGGATTGGTTTTATTTATTTTTTTTTTTTTTTATATTATTATAGGATCGGTGTAAATGTAAGTGAGGAATAAGAATCGTAATAAGGAGCGAATCGGAATGGATAATCGCGTCGTTGGATATGATTCCGCAAAAATTTCTGACCTAGCGAGGAGTGACCTTTTGAACTGAAGTTGTCGCCGTCTCCGATCGAACGATGAATCTCGAACTCGATCGATTTGTTTTACTTTCGTGAATACTGCGCAGAAAATAAACAGATGTATCGAAGCGCGTATATATATATATATATATATTCGCTGAAGAAAAGATCGGGTAGATTTTTTTTCTTTTCCCCGAACAAACTTTTAACCTTAACAATATCTGTGAACAAATAATCCCAGATCTCTGACCCATGATTAATTACAAAAGGGGAAAAGGAAACGAAGGATGGACGGATCGACAGATGCTGCTGCTGTTGCAACCTTGGGAAATATTTATCGTGTTACATCATAACATTCTCTAGACGCGCGCGGTCCAACACATCTGTCTATTTTCCGCGTCACGCTTTTGCCTCGCTCCTCGATAGATTAGAAGTCAATTTCTTACTCTTCAAAAATTGAAGAGTTGCAACGACAGATATCGACAGAAATTCTACGCGAATTTCAAGCAGTAGATTTCATTTTTTTCAAAAGGCCTTTTGCAACGGCGTTAGTTAGTCAAAAGTCAGCATTATTTTTGATTTTCTTGAACTTTTAACCGCGCGTAATTCCCGATTCGTACACCGATCGAGGACAGTGATGGGCAAAATTTAATAATTAAATTTTACGAATAGGTTATTTCAATAATTTATTTCGTTCGAAACGTAATAATAATAAAAGCATAATAATCATAGTGTCAACCAACGGCAGAGGTTATATGAAAAGCGAATCAATTGTAATAGCTGTATATATATAAAACATTCGATTCAAGTTTATTCGAAATCTTAAGTCAAGTTAACGCAGTTACTTTTTCAATTGTGATTAATTTCCAACTCTGCCTGAGGGTGACTACAAGACGATCGATTTTCTATGACTCTAATCTCGCCTCTTCAAATTGAATATTTCAATGAATTTGCCAATCTCGTGTTCCTAGCGACTAGGAAAAAGTCAGTCGTCCAATATCGAGCAAAAGATAAAGTATGTCCGCTAATTCGACGAATTATGAATTATTCACGCCCTAAATACAAACCTAGTTCGAGATATTAGACTTCAACGCTTCCCAAAAGATGTTTTTCCCAACGAGGTTCCCAAAATTCTCGAAGTTTCGTTCCTCCAATCTCGAGAGCGTTGAAAATCCTCCTCCAAAAAAAAAAATCTACCAAACGCACAAAACTGGTATCCTCCTCCGCACAGACCGTTTGGATCGCGTCTAAAAGGCTGTGCAGTCGATTCCCACCACGCGTGCACGAAAAAGGGGTTCCATTCACGAGGAGGTCCGTAAAACGACGGGTTAATGAACAGCGTCTGGCCGATAAAGAACGAGAAAAAAGAGAGAGAGAGAGAGAAGAAATGGTTTTCGACTAGCACGCGTAGATAAACCTCGAAAAAGCGTCTGGCAGCTGCGTTTACAGACGTAAATACATACGTATTTTAACAGCTGAGAGTAGGTGGGACGGCGAAGACCCAAGCTTCTGACGTGCACACAACTATCTCTCTCTCCTTCTTTCCCTCTTTCTTTTCCCCTTTCTCCATTTCGATTACGTCTGTTAACGTTCGATCGATTCTGGGGAACCCTAGGATTTTGACAGCTTGTAATTCAGACGTTGTTACGTCGTTCGCTCCGTAATTGAACTGACTCGAAATCGAATTATAATGTCTGTGTGTTGTGCGTGAGGGAACGAACAAATAGAGAAAGAGAGAGAGAGAGAGAATCGTCCCGAGTTGGGACGACGTGCGTGACATTCGTTACGTCGGTGTATTATATTTACACGCCGAATTCACCGACGCGTGATTCCTATCTCGGTCACCGGCCGGGGATCAAAATTATATAACAAGCCGATGGAGAATTCAGGCCCATTTCGAGCAACGGTGATATCCAACCTCGAAAAAATAGCGACTCTTAAACCGTGACCCATCATGCGCTTAGAGGTATCCTTTGCCTACCTGAAAAGAACGACAAAGCTAATAATTGAAATTAAATATTAGTACATAGATAAATAGAAATATCGATCGTCTTGGGCCAGAATAAAATTTAAATCGAAAGAATTGATTCGAAAAACGAGAAGTTTTAACTTGAAAGTGTTAAATATATTCAAATCTCTTTCTCTCTCTTTCTCTTTTTCTGTTTCAATTGACGAGGATCGCCAATATGGCCGCCCACTCCGATCCTCCAACAGCCTTAAAGATCCACCGATTCACTAACTTCTCCAACAGTTCGCATCCATATCCTCCCGTGGGCGTCTTTCCTCTTTGTATCCTCTTATCCTCGAAATCGTCTAATATTATTTCTCTTTCAACTCTCCTCTTCGCGCACGTACGTACTTCCCCGGAATCCTACGAGGCCTGTGCCAAGTGGATCCTGTTTCCTGCTCGTTGCACGGCCTCTATATCAGCCGGTTCGATGCAATTATGAGCGCGTGCACCGCATACGGGTAGAGGGAGGAGAGAGGGGAGAGGAGGGAGAGGAGGAATAAATTCGAAATATACCGCGGTTGTGAACGGTTTTTCGAATTAGGGGGGAGGGAAGACTTGCCAGGGGCCACGATAATGCGAATATAATGACGACGTTGCCACGGGTAAATAGATCCGCAGCCTCGGTTCCGATCGTTTTCTGCGCGAGCCCAAGTTCAACGTTTCCGGCCACGCCGCTCTTCCTTTCTTCCTTTTGCACGCGGCAGTTTCGCCGGCGCGGAGTTTTCTTTTTTTTCTTTCTTTTTTTTTTAAACATTTACATTTATGCTCCTCGCTCGCCTCCTTTCTCGTTGCGGCTTTTTGCGTTTCGCGGTCGATTGGTGGATCTGGCTGTTGGCGGATACGGTGTTGGATTATGGCGATAGGAAGGAAGAAAGAAAACGAAGGAAATTTTATAATATTTTTGAATATGGCTCGCTTGGAAAATGAAATGGATGAAAGATGATTGAGATTGAATCCAGATGGGTTTAAAATTTGTCCTTTTTGTTTTCAAGTTGATCCCATTTTTTGAGAAATTGGATTGTTCGGAACGTAACCCGTTGAATTAAAAATTGTGGAGAGCAGTCTAAGAATTTCTCGTTCGCCGCTCCCTCTGGCAAGCGAACGGGGGAACTAAAAACATTCTCAGGCCAGGAAGGCATCGTTAAACGAGTATCTGGTATAACAGTACCGGGTATTTTTCAAACTGATATATTTCTTCAGAAGGAAAAAGAAATCGCCACCGGCTCGTTCCGGCGATCTCATTTTCCTACTCGTGATCAGGGTAACGTACCGTACACTTATATATATATTACAATAAAATACTAATCAATTATCCGAGTTTTCCAAGTTTTTTTCTTTTAAACGTGTTAATTAGAATTCGTTCGATCCGCGCGCTCCATTTAACCATCAATCGCCATATTTTATTCCGGTTGGTGGTTGTTCGAAAGGAAGTTTCGAAATGGATTATTCTCGAGCTCCGCCATCTTTTTCCACCCATGGAATCACTCGACCTCGAGGAATTTTCTCGATTAAAATCATTGTATACACGCGTATTTTCTCGCACTGTTCTTATCGATAATTTCCTTATTCTTACCTTTCTTCTTTAAATTAGATTTTCTCTCTTTCCTAAATTAAATAATAATCCGCACTCGCAACAACGACTCGCACACATTCCTCTTTGTGACTCTTTAAATTTCTCTAGTAACTAATATTATTACAATTGTGCAAGAACTCTTTGATAATCATCCAATCCGGATAATTATCCGGTCTTTGTTTTATTCTGTTTTAAAGAGATATAGTTATATTTCGTATAAATAATAACGTAACGTATGAATATTCAAAATGAATTCAACATGGCTTCCTTTTCTTACCAACTCTATCTCTCTCTCGGAGAGAGATTTTTAAAAAAGTGAAGAGACACTCTTCAAAAATCGTCTCTCCGGAATTCTCCTCCCCCTTTTTGTCCCCTTTTCTTTTCTTCTCTTCTCGAAACGACGTCCGATCCAATCCTCGGGAGAAGGATTGAAAATTTCGAAGGAGGCGCCTCTTTGGATGAACCGTGGCGCATAATCTCGTTGCGGTGATTACTTCCTCTTAATTACTCGGTTCGCGAGTAACAGCGTTCCCGCGCTGGAAGGAGCGAACAGCCCCGAGAGACACATGTTATTCATGCGCGGGTTGCGTCAGCCTGCATTTGCAATTTTATTCCCCTTTTCTCTCCACCACTCGACACGACTCGGCTCCTCCTCTCCATCCGCCAGAACCGTTCAACGCCGTTCCTTCCAACTCGGAATCGCGGACAACATCGTTTCTCCGCATCCTCTTTATGACTCCTTTAGTGGCTTTGCAGAACGGATTTTCGAGAACTATAGATAATATCGATCGCAACTTTGAACCTGTTTCCCGCCTTTGTTGATTTTAAACGAGTTTGCAGCTTAATGTTTCGCGGAACAGATCGTGGTGTAGAAACGAATGGAGGGGATTTTTCTTTTTTTTTTTTTTTTTTCCTAGAATAA